AAAAAAAAACAGAACAAACTAAGTCAACATTTGTCTGTTTGTTAGTCATGAACCACTGGATAAGGTTTAATGAAAGAAAGTAATTATTGGATGTACTTTAATAAGCAAGTAAACTTAGAATTTTCAAGTCAGTCAAGTAGCCACATACAGTACATAATAACCCAGGGGGGTTATGTATTTTCCAGGCACAAAGTTCAGTTCTATACCACAATTAAGTAACTATGATATTTTCAGTTGTTATGAAAATGCTGTATATATATCTAATATAAATTTGACTTTGCATCATATAAGGCCCCTGCCACTCTATAATGTTTTAGAGAACTTATGCCTACTTGTGAAAATTTTAAAGCCATCTACGTTGAAGATGAAACTAAAAAATCATTTGGAAGACTCTTTTACATACTGTAATGCTAACAAATGGATCAAATATACAATTTTTATTGGTAATTTAAACAAAAATAGTAATAAGTTGGCATAAGTTCTCTATAACATGAGCACATGACACATGCACACAGTAAAACTACACCTGCTTTTTGGTGTTTCACTAACAGGGTTTTCTCCTAACTTAACTTCTAACTTGTGACCTTGAGCACCTTGAAATTGGCCTCTGTCTCTTTAAAAACCACCTATCGTTTCAGACACCCCCACTTCAGCACATCTTCACAACAATTCTTMGGGGGAGGGGCGCTCTGTGGGGCAGGAGCTCAGCTGCAGGGAGGAGCTCCGCCCATTTACACAAATCTCCTCCCTGGAGCTCAGTCTGCAGGGAGGAGCTTTGTGCAAATGGGCGGAGCTTTGTACCAGCAAGCGTTTTGGCTGTTCCGCATGGCTTCAAGTAGATTCAAGGATTTCTCAAGCATGAATGAGTCAAAACACAGGGAGATGTTTTTGATTTTTGATGAGGGAAGGACATTATAACATGATCTAAAACTAAAAAAGAAAACTTTGCATAATCTCCCCTTTAAAAAGCCTACTTAAGAATGTAAGGTTTTAGCTGCTTTTAACAGCTCTAAGAGACCGAGGTAATGCCTTTCCAAAATTTAAGAGCTGCAACCTGGAATGCTCTATCAGGGCATAATTTAGTCAGGACCGAGGAACAAGTAGCAGATTGGAGTTACTAGACTGAAGCGTATGTGTAGGTACATATGGGTGATGTAGATCTACCTTTGGCTAACTTTTARAGTCGACCCTGTTGAATATGGCCACCAGAGTAAGCAACCTTAGTTAGCACAAAAATGGCCTTAACTCAGTCAGATTCACAGATCTTGATCTTAACTTTAATAGTTTTTGAGAGTCATTGAGTCTGAGCATGATACTAATSAGTGAGACTGCACGTTTTAAAGTTTGACCAAAACAGCTACAACTCTGTAGATGATCCTGGTCTAAAACTCTTTTTAATGGAATATGTATTTTTTTGTTTTGGCTTCTTTTTTTAAATAAAAATGTTCCACTAACATCGTGAAAAATGCTCTTTAATCCAGCAAGTAAGTGAGAAGATGAGTGWGATTTTTTAGAGATAGGTAGAAGAATATTGAAACCTATATTTAGAACATGCTTGAAAGAACGATGCACCTCAATTCAAGGAGTGAGACTGTGGAATAATTTAGAAGACGATGTTAAAAGTGCCACATCAATGTGCATATTTAAGAGAATGATAAAGACTGGACTGTTAAAAATATGAAATGGTTTAATATGTAGACATTCACTTTGTTGTTCTGGAAAGTTTCAATGTTTTGTTTTTGTTAACTGAAGATCACTATAGTTTGAATCTATATTTGAGAAAAAAGGGGCAGATATTATAATATTTTTTTCTTCTCTGTCACCTTTCATTTCATTTTATTTGTATTTTCTGTTTTATTGTACATAGAATTGTTTTATGAAACGAATAAAGTTTATAACTAACTAAAAAAAAGAATGAAAAAGACAAAATTCCCAACTTGAGGGAGGAAGTGCCCACTTTTACAGTATACCAGAATTCACCTGTATTGGCCTTGAGGGGGTTTCAACATTTAAAATCCTCAGTTTGCATCAAGGTCCTGTGAATGTTTGAAAATTCTTTTGGAGCAAGTTGTTGGGCAGCAGCATAGGCACAATTTGTGTGTGTGTGTGGTGGTGGTGGGGGGATTATAACCCTCACAATAATTTGATTCAGTGAATGTAACCCCCAGTTATATTAAGTTGAGTTATTAATAACTTTCGTGTACTTTGTCCAGTAATATTTGGAAGCCTCTGTCACAGTTATTTTGTGGGTCAGAAGGTGAAATGTTTGAGAACCACTGCTTTTGCTAAATGATCTGATGACCCAACAATTGGAAGTTTTTTTTAACCTTTACAGCATAAAGGACTGCAGGAGGACTGCCTTTGGAAATTACATTAATGGCAAGAATGGAAGTCTTAAATGCAACTTRTGTTTGATTTTTTATGTGTTAAAGCAACAGGTTAATTCTCTGTTAAGGTTTGATTTAGACTAATCAAATAAAAGTAGGGGGAAATGGTGACTTTCTGTCTGACAGTGAAAGAAAGTGCTTTTGTCTGCAGCAAAGACTGAATTGAATAAAACTGCAGTGAAATGTATCTAAACACAATCCAGCATGTGCACCATTACATCCTCCTTCAACCCCTGTTTCCCTCTCTTTAAAAACAAACAGGTAAAATGAATTTTAATGAATAATGACCCTGGAGTTTCCTCTTTAATCATTTACAACTGAAACCTAAAAATCAGGATGCTCACAACATGCTGGCCATTCTTTGCGACGCTGCTGGTAATCCAGGTAGTTCACATTAATGTAGAAGCCTCATAAAACCTACCTATGGGTCCTCTGGAGTCATACGTCTCTTGTGTTCTGACAGTGTGGCCAGTCCCTCAGAGTGACTTCTGAACCCAGATCGTTCCATTAGAGCCCCAAAAGCCTCGGGGCCCCGTCCCGGTATGAGGTGGCAGAAGAGCGGGGAGAACCCTGGGGAGAACTGTGAAGAGGAACATCTCAGTCTTCTTCTGGTGCTGCTTCTCAGCGGAAAGCACCTCAGAGGCAGATCGAAACCAACCCCCACAAAAGAATTACTTGACACAGCTTTGTGTGGGGGGAGAAAAGGCTGTCACCACCTTTATAATTGCTTCTTACATTGTGATTTTAGGGGGGATCAAAACTAAAACAGATTTAAAAAAAAACCAAGTTAATAAAAAAATAAATAAAGAAGAAACTGATGCTGAAAGGTGAAGGATGGAGCAACAGAAGCTGAAACACTGATCTATACTGACCTCTAGTGGCAWCAAAACTAACTGCAATTTAGCCAGGATAATTTTTGTCACATCTTGTTAGYAAAATATTTCATGAACCAATGAATGGATTTTAATGAAACTCTCAGACAGAAACGAATGGAGGTTTGTCTACAACTGATTACATTTTGAACCTGATTCAAGGTGGCCGCCACWGATTTTTGACCTTAGCAAACACAAAACAAGGCCAGTTACAGATAYTGAGCTAAAATCTGGTGTGGTAATAGCTGACAAGATTTCACAATATATACATTTGAGTGAAAACCAAAAACACAAGAACTTTGTTTTATTTTGGTAAGATAAGTGCTGGGTGATGTGCATAAAGTTTAATAAAGTTTTATTTTCTAATGTTTTATTGTATGTAAAATTTCCACTGTAGGGTTCAGTGATAACTTTTTAGTATACGTCAGGGGTCCCAAACTATTTTCCTCCTGGGGAAAATATCACATTTTAATTATTCAAATGAAATTGTTTTGGTGATTTTTATATGCAAACAATAAATGGATAATTTCACCTCTGAGCAGACAGGGTTAYGCTCCTCACGAGTTATTTCTTTCTGACTTTGTTCCTGTTTACATTTAAACTCTTTTGTTTGTGTGTGTGTGTKTGTGTTTTCTGGGAAAYAAACTACAAACTGGGTGACAAAAATGATCAGCCTGAAAAATCCTGAAAAGAAACAAACACAGGAGGTTATGGAGTTTAGAAAAACTCCAAACAAGTTTAGTCAGTCATCTTCCATTTTCTGTTTCAGTGTCTCTCGTTTGCTTCCTCTTGCTGTTGGCCTCTCACCCTCGTGTCATTTCTCTCGCTTTCCTTTCACCAGCGTCTCCCCTTCGCACTTTGTTCTCTCCACCCTTTTCCTCGGAGGAATAGAGCTGCTGGGACACGCTGAGCAAAGATTGTCAGTCCTCTCTCTCTCTCAGGGTGGGGCTCCCTGGGTGTGTTGGGTTATCACATTCCTGTTTTGTTTCTCATTTGTTCTTTCATGGGCCTGCAGCTGAATGTGTGTGTGTGTGTGTGTGTGTGTGTGTGTGTGTGTGTGGTGACAGAGCCAAGAGGGGGAGTATAAACACGGATGAGAACATTATTTGCATTTGGAGCTTCAGCTGAGTTTTACAGCCTCTTGGTTGAAAACGCAAACAGAACTATTAAATTTGAGCAAATTTAAAACCTGACTTTGGATAATTATCAGGCGTTTGTGCCACAAAATCATAGGTGCATTTTTAGATTTTGTTCTAAATGTCAAATTGGGAATCGATGCAGCATTTTTACACAAACAGGATTTCCAGTTCGGGTTTTTCTTTCACCGTCCAACCAAACCTCGTCACTCTGTGGTAYGTTTTCTTCTTTGCTAACGAATCTAATAAAAAATTTAATTCAATTTCTTCAAAATAACTTTTTATTGCATAAAAATACAGACCAAAAATATTTCATAGGACAGCAGAAATAAAACCAGCCAAGTGTTTTTTTTTTAGTACAGTAAAAGGTTAGTGATACAGAATAAAACAGCTGGTGTTAAACGCAAACCCATCCACTTTAGAAACTAATCCCAATTTACAAAACAAGTGTTAGTTCCAGGTTAGAAGTTCCAGCTGTGACTGACTCATCCAACGTCAAAGTTCTGCAGAACTCGGTCCAACTAACCTGATCATGTTTGAGCAAGAGGCGACACGAGGAAGACCGAGATGGTAAAACAAGACGGACCAGTAAAAAAAACCAACACGACACACGCTAAGGCACACCTTTCACTTAAAAGTGAGCGATTAAAAACTTTGGTCTTTGCTTTGTTTTTTTATATATCAAACCAGCAACCTCTACGAGACATTATTTCAAACATCTAAAGAGGTTATGAGATGATTTGCTTCCTGTTGGTTTTATATATAAGAACCTGGTTTGACACAAAAATGCACTAAAACCTAAATAAAATACAGCATTTATTTTTGTTCCCTCTTAACCAGATTTGACATCATTAAAACAAGGCAGCTCATATTCAGTAGTGTGTTGCTGGAAAACAAAAATAAAAATAGCTACTCCAAATAAGATATATTACACTGGAATTAGGAAATGGAAAAAAAAACACCTCTTTCTTCTTTCACCCATTACAACAAACACCGACACACGATCAATAATGATTCTTTAAAAAATAAAACTCAATCCAGCACAATAATCTCCCAAATACACCTCAGTAGTAATACTAAAAATATAAAACAAATGCTCAGACAAAAAGATTCTAAGAATCCATAAAAAAGGTGCAAACGGCTGTTAAAACTACGGAGTCTATACACATCAAGCCTTGCCGTAAGTTACAAAATCTGGGAAAAGTTAATAAAATTATGAGAAACATTCATTTACGAATCTGGATTGCTTATCTGTGAGGGTAAGTGCACTTTGGTGAGACTGCATTCTAATATTTAGTGTGGTAAATAATGAAAAATAGATATGAAGAAGCAGACTTAATCTAAACAGCTCAGAACATTAGAGCTATTTGGGGGTGGGGATAATTCCTTTGCTGAAACATTTAACTGAGGTGCGACTCGGTAGATCTTTGGTGAAACGATGCAAAGCAAAAAGGATCCAACTGAGTTAAAAAAAAAAAAAAAAAAGAGGAAATATCTGGAAGTGGGCCGGCGAGCAGGCTGTGTCTTTAGGGAGAAGTATAGAAGTATTTGGTCTTTCCTATTCCATTCAATTCATCTTCATAATTTGGCAGGCAGAAGAAGAGGATGGCGCAGCCGAGGGAGAGGATGGTGGCGCCCCAGCCAAACCCGTAGGCCCAAGTGTAGTTGTACTGGCCCTCAAAGATCTTCTCGTTAAACTTGATGGGATAGATGATCAGAGCGATGATCTGGATGATCACTGCAGAGACAGACAACGCATGAAAAACTTCAACAGGCCCGGGAGGACGAGCAGTTTGATATRAGCTTATAAACAGCATCAAAACATCATTAAATATGTATTTTCTTTGGATTTTTTTTCATCACCCACAGCTCTTTACAARGAAGACACATCATGCTTTTAAATCTTTCTTTTTCACATTTAAAATCTTTCAGTTGGGGTCTGAATTCCTCCTTATTGTAACTCCACAAGCCCCTYTTTCCTGAGTTGTGTCTCAGATCAACTCGTTTAGAGGCTGTCTCTTTAAATCCAAACGAGGCACTTCACACCCCGCCCCCCACCAGCTTCCAGMGTGATCAATTCTAGTTTGAAAGGAGGGTTAACAACTATATAGTAGGGTTGGGTGATATTGGCAAAAAAAAAAAAAGGAAAAAAAAAGAATCAAGATTAATTGTGGTGTTTAGCCGATGACGATTAATCCCCTGGAGTCCCTGGACGCCTGCATGTCCTAGTCACATGACCAATTTAAATCACTCTTCTGGGAAAGATTTGCTCTCCGTAAAAATCTGTTCCAACTTGTGTAAAAAGGACTGACTTCAGGCTAAACCTCAGTTCAGTAAGTGTGTTGAAGTAAAACAGGAGTTATGATAAATAAAATTACAAAACTTTTTTTTAAAATGTTTGTCATATTTGAAGTGGAAGGGAGCATCGGACAGACTGACCGGGGAAACCTCCAGTCATTCTGTCTGGTGGTATTAATCATCTTAATCGTCAAGTATCAAGAAACTAAATAATCAATTAATTGCACAAGATACGATTTTGCTCAACCCTACTATACAGCGGCGCAGTCTCTTATTATTTACAAATCAATATGTCATAACAATTTCATGTAATAGTTTAGAAAATGTCATAGAAATTAAGAGAAAAAATATGGCCCAAACGGAATATAAAGATACTATATCTATGCAGCATTGGGCAAAACTAAACGAAACTTTTCTGCACTTGAGACTCCAAGTACATGACATGCATTTAAAAGGGGCAGTATTATGTGTTTCTCAGGCATACATTTAAATACTATACCATAATAAAGTATTTATG